TAAAGTAGGTAATAGTAAACGTAAACTTACTACGTTTACGTTTTCTCATTACCCCATTTAAGCCGTCTCCAGCCATTATAAATAATTCATTTGTTTGTTGCACAAAGCTACAAAATAGTCTATTTGTGTTGCCCACCACGGGTATCGAAATCCGATTTTTGTGTCATAAGCCCAGAGATGTACTGCTAAGCTCCTAGAAGGCGGACGAATAAAAACGTATACTAGCGGAGAATGATTGAAAAAGTTCAAAAAATGAAGCTAGTCAATCTCCAGTCCACATTCTGTTTATGTATAGTTTTTGTGAATTTTGTTGCTTTCTATATAAAGAAAATTCTTAAAATAACGCTATATAAATTATAATTTAATTATAATATTATTAGCAGTACTTAAAAGCTACTCTTAGCTGAATATAAGAATTAATTGGTACAGTTATAATGCCCCATCAGCTGAATGTGTTTAGCTGCATATCACTGTTCGAACCTTGGACCTAACGATACAAAGATAAGCACGCCAACCACGCGTAAACAATCAAAATTTGCAAAGTTTTAGATTCAGGTCAATAATGTAAATCAGAAGACTTAATTGTATTTTTCATTGTGTTTCAGATGAGGAAGTAGATGTCGTAACAGTGGACAAATTGTCGACTCACTGCTCAGTAGAAGAAAATGTACTTAAGGACCACGATGAAGACACGTGTTTTGCGCCAAAAATGTTTTCGTATTCTCTAAAGAATGAACAACTGGTAGTTCGAAAATCAGCAAAACTGCGTTTTTCTTCTGAAAGTGTAAATAGCGTTCGTGTTTCCATTGGACAACCCGAAATACGAAGAACAAATAACAAAGCACTTGAAAGAACCAAAAATATTAAATCGCAGAGAAGAGGTTATCGCAGTAGTCGTTCTAGTTCTGATTCGGATGATCCAAAAAGGGTAAGGAAAGAACATAACAGTATGGAAAGAAAAAGACGAGACGACTTACGTTTCGCATTCCAGACTCTCAGAGAAAACATACCTGAACTGAAAGACAATTCCAAAGCACCAAAGGTAATGATTTTAAAAAGAGCAACTATGTATGCGCAACAACTGGAAAGGACAAGACAAGTACTAGAACATTCCTTAAACGCAGAATCACGGAAGAAACAAAAACTTCAAATAAGGTTTCAACAGTTACGAAATATCTTCAGAACTTCCCAAAAAAGTTGATACAAATATGATCTAACGGTTGTTTCTATCTCATACTCTCCTATTGACCAAATATTTTTTTACAGAAGAGTAGAAAACATATTCTTTCTTTGAGAAAAACTGGTTTTATGCGACCATTTTCTCTTACTTGCATTTCTAAAATTACAGAAAATGTTTTTCTTTGGTAAATATGTGAAATATTTTAAAAGCGTATTTGAGTTAGAAAACAAGAACACTGCTCATATAGATATTAAATACTGATTGTTTTTATAAATTTAACTATTGATTATATTGCTTAAAAACCTTAGTGTTTTTTTGCTTTAAGTAAATTACTTAATATCAAAATATTAACTCGAACATTTTTCTTCAAGTTGTTTTCTTACTAAGAAACGTTTGATAATTAATGAACATTGTAAAGCAATTTCTCTGGCAAAATATTGTTTCAAACATATTGTTGGTGTGAACGTGACTTATAGTCAGTGTGAGAAAATCCTATACACTTGATGGGTGAAGGAAAATTGTCATTGGCCACTATTCCTGCTATTGTGCCGCTATATGGTGTGAAGAACTGAATAGTGACCAATGACACTTTTCACTATGATATAGGTCCAGCTTATCTCTCTTTGGTTAACTTGTCTTCAGATTTATTGATGAGGAGTAGAATTCTCCGGAACTAGTATAACCCAATAACACACGTTGATCAAAGTGTTGATTGAACTGGACCTTCCTTGAACTTAGACTTCGAAATTGAAGAATTTTCGGAACACTAAGTTTATTTATTAAAACCTTGTTTGTTGTTTAAAGTGTCCACCGATGATTGCACACGTAGTAACGATTATGTAAGAAGGGAAAGAACATGAAGTTTTGTGTGTGTGTGTGTGTGTCCTCCTTTTCATTTTTATAACAAACCTCCAAGTGACCTCTGTCTATCTCAATGCAATAAGCTTCCGCAGTCGTCTTTGTCATTTGTCAAACACACTGGTGAATCTTCTGGAATATCATTAGGTATTTTCATGGTACAACCTGCAAGATCGGTATGGGTGCTCAATATGGAGTTCAAAGCGTAAACTTAGTTAGTATGTCCCCACAGCCAAAATTTCAGTATAGAGATAGTGGCGACCAGGAAATGGTCCCACACAGTTGGTTCATAGCTTCACGAAAGCAGTGTAAAGTGAATTGTGTTACATCCTCTTGCTGAAAGAAACACGTGTCAATAGTCCTTCCACCTCCCGAACTGCGGGAAGACAACGTTCTACAGCATCTAAAGGTATGTGAAACTAGTGGTTCAGTTATTGAAGATATAGTTGAATTGTCGAGTCCTCCTTTTAAAACACACTCGTATGCTTAATATCCGTGTTCGATAGATCTTGAGTGACTTACTGAAAATGGCATTGCTCGAAAACAACAGCGTGGATTTCAAATTACGAAGGAATTGAGCTGATAATTCCTGAATAATCACTGTCTACTGGTAAAATGTTGAATCCTGATTTATACCAAAAACTGGTGAGATGGAATTAAACTTGAGGTTTTTTTAGTCAATAGTGTACTTACCTCATGTCTTTAAAATTCTTCGTTTTGAAAGTTAACGTTTTGAAATGTGTGTATCCATCAGCAGACACTTGTAGATGTCCAGTGAGTTATCATCAGATAAATATCCAAAACGTGACCAGTAACTGTAATGAAAAACAAACAAATTCAACTATAACTAAAGTTGTAATATATATGTTTGCTATAAGAGAAATGTGAAATGTATAGGTAACGTTTCAGTCAAACGACCTTCAGATGGTCAGGATTTGAACAGTCTGATTGGAATATTTATATTTCCCGTACAATAACTTTAATAATTTATTTGTATTTTCAAAATAATATTGATGGTAGAGCAACTTGTAAAACCTTCCTTGTAATAAATTGAAATAATGAGTTAGAGTTAAAAAGAATATTATTCCATAAACTGAAGGGAAATATTAGTTGGTTTTTATTAGACAAACACAGTAATTTAGACTTTTCTATATTAACGAATATGTTTTTAAGCTTGCTAATATGGTTATGTGTTGGCTGTAAGAATATTTACAACAGTTCACAATTTGTCACTAAAATATATTTTCCAACTGCATTTGTCATTATTAGCAATTCCTTCTCATGGGTATCATACAACGCTAAAATCCGAGGTTCGATTTCCCGTGAAGTTATATCCTTTTACTTTTGGTACCAGTAAAGAAACACCGTTATTCGTTGGCGTTAAAGTGACTTTTAGAACTACAAGCAAAAACAAGTTGGTTTCGCGAGAACGTGTGATATACATCGTTATTATCCTCCAATTTTGGAGCTGGTAAAGAAACTCCCCTCCCCGTTATTCCTTGGCGTTATAATGACTTTTAGAATTACCACCAGAAACAAGTTGGTTTCGCGAGAACGTGTATCGAACAGCGTTGATATCCTCCAGTTTTGTGCTTATACTCCGAGTAACCATTGCAGATATATACTGTATCTCTAAACCGAAAAATATATCGATTAGTGCTTTTTTTTCTTTAACTAGCATACTCTATGTAAAATTCAAAATACATTTAATTTCAGATTCTAAAAATGTTACGATGGCAGATATAATTGTAAAAAATAGGTTTGCGCTGGTTTCACAGAAATTTTTAACCTTGTGTATACTGGAGCCTTTCTGCTCTCCAAACTAACATAAATTATTTAACCTGTGAACTTTGAAAATCATGTACGTATCTTTAATTATATAAACAATATAACACCATCTTTATATATGGACATCTAAAGAAATTCTACACAAATTTTACCATTTATTATGTGACAGTAATTAGTGCTGTAGAGTAAAAATAAAACATATTTTGACAGTTTATTGTATAAAATTTATAACCCATTTAAATGTAAAACTTCTTTTAAAATTCTTGAACCCCTAAAAATTAAGACGCATAGTGTTCAACTAGGTACACTTCTGAAATACAAATATTATGCAGAAGATTAAAAATACACATTTCTATATTAGTATGAATAAAATTGAAACAAAATTCTGCTTTAATCCCATCCAATCTAGCACGGTAGGAATTTAGGGGAATGAAATATAACCAGGGGTGGTCAGAAACTTCTGTTTCTCTTCATCCCACTACATAATTAGAATTTAGTGGCCGAGGCTTTTAAGAATTAAATGCTTACATGAATCAAAGTTTAACAGTTATTTTTCCTAATGACGAGTTCACAAGCCGTGGTAAGAGCTGAGAGAAGACGTGGAAAAGAAAAGAAAGAAGGGTAAATTTTGCTTTTGCATTCGTATATAGTTAGTTTTGGAGTTACTTAACGCCCTCTAGTGGCTCACCGGCAAGTCTGAAAGCTTCTAATCGACTTTCAATACCCATGGTGAGCATAGTATAGATAGCCAGTTGTATAGCTTTGTGCTTTACAACAAATGGATTAATTATTGTGTGTGTTGTTTTGAAATGTTGGTTAAGATGCTCTTAGTATTTCTGTTTTGTTTTAAACTAGCGCATCCCTGTTTGTTTAGCATAAAACTTGATTGAGTTGGCTAACTTTACATGTATACGGTATCGTCATAGCAAACATTTCGTCAAACTTTTTTGAATTGTCTTTTAATAAAATTTAAAGGTTCTGTAGCCTTTATTTTAATCTATATAAAATATTCGTCATTTTTTCATTAAATTTTAATTAGTTTAGTTTTAACAATTTATTTTGTTATACAAGTGATTTTGGGGGAATCATTCTCACATTTTCAAATTTGTATGATAATTAATTTATGAAGATGTTATTGTGCAAGTATGGTTTAAAATAAAAGATGTGTTATTCTCCATATCCGTTTACTGATATTTTATACTAATAAATTTAAGTGTTTCTGCCACATATAAATCAGAAATGTTCCAATGCAGGGAAAGGAAATACGTGTCTCGAAATCAATTTATAACCTCAGTATTAACGTTTTTGGAACCTGGAAATCTGGATAAGTTCTATTGATAAAACGACATTAAATAATGTATTTCAGTTATTCGTTACCATTAACCAAGAATACAGTGAAAGATTACACACATTTTGGATCAGAAATCATGTCTGATAATCATCACTACTTTGGGATTTCATAGCTTGAAAACATGTTACTTGATGAAACTTTATTAATTGGACAATTTATTCTTATGAAATATTATCCTAGAACTGAAAGATTAGGTATGTATATATATATATATATATATGTATTTATATATTTCAACAAGTATAAGAATTTTTGAAGTTGTTGAGATATAGTTATGTGTCTTTTCAATAATGAGGAAATGTAAAATGCCTTTTTTTAAAGGTCAATTTGAATATATCCTCAATTCAAGCTTCATATTATGCAACAAAGTTCAGATATACATACATAAGCGGCGTTCATAATATTCTTGGCTAAAAGCTGTACAGGAAAACCACATGACTAACAACTGAAACCTATAAGTATGGTAAGGTTTTTACGTACCCAGAATTTGTTTCACAGGATTGCATTCAACCACATACCAGTTACTGAGGTTTCTTTTACTTTTTATATTCGGAAGATAATGTGGAAAATTTAATGGTTTTTGTTATAAAAATAACAATAAAAAGTACATCAAACTTAATAAATTACATTTTAAAAGAAAGGATAAAATCCTAGCACTTTTGACAGGTAGACATACACATAACAATAAATTTCTATTAAAATATAATTTTATGCAACCAGTTATTCAAAAGTGAAATATATACGTTTACTGTGGATATTCAAAAATGATCGTCAAAAAAAAAAACTGGCTAGAAATAACTATTATGCAGTTCCACTTAGTGTTAGCAAGAAGTACTGAAAAAAAATTAATTTACTTCCAAAAAAATTGGAGTTTCTGGTTTAAAACATATTAGTAAACCAATACTTGATTAAGAACAAATGAAGAACTTGAGAAATAATGAAGTAATGTTGTTTTAGCACTACCTAACAGAAATTCAAAGAACTAATTTATGTTATTTTATACAATTAAACGCTTCAGTAAAACTACCAATCGTTGCACGAGTAACCTAACCTTGAAAATGTTTGTCTTCAAATTCTTCTTGATGGATTGTTAAAAAATAATGCAGAAAATTCAAACAAAAATACAATACTTTCATGCAATGAATACGAGTTATTTTGTATCATAAGAAGAAGAAGAAAACGTTGGAGCACTTCATTATGAAAATATATATAAACAAAACTAATTTTAAATTTGTAGGATAAAGAAAATTCGTTTTAATAGATCTTTAGGTTGCACAATAGCTACTTTTGAAAATCTTTGTAAAATTGATTTTATAATATTAGCAGCATCAAGTTGAATCCTTTAGTGGTCAGTAAAGATAACAGAACAACAGTAGTACTGAAGTACTCTGAC